TACAGGCCTGGGGCGGCACAGCGTATTGATAACGTTGCTCTGTCTGGCTGCAACGCTGCTCTCCACCGCTGCCGCCGTGACATTAACAGCAGCACAACGCCTCCCATTTTACAACGCACGCCGGCTTCTCTTTTACCAAAAACATTTAACCAGTGATGCTGGTCAGTTAATTACACTTTCATTTATAAAACTGCAAAAACTAGGGTTTTACTTTTTATATACACTTTTTAACTTCCACAAATAACTTTAAAAATAGATTTTCTGTGCTGTGATAACAGGCTGGACTCAGAGTCCTGGGGGGGTGACAGGCCTCTATGGCGAGGTGAGGAGTGTGAGGGCGCCATGATTTTCCTCACCAGGAGTCTGAGAACCAGCCAACAGAGAGTTGCTGTTGTGTTGCAGCATGAAATTAAATTGTTGAATAGAAAAAGGCATAAACAGCCCTGAGACATCGAATTAGTGTCCATTAATGAAAAGCCCAAAACAGTGTTTGCTAGATGAAAATGTATTTGTGGTTGAAGCCGTCAGGGGGAGGTGGCGTTTTACACTGAGCTAACATAGTATTACATTACATGCTACAATCCAATTAGGGAAACTGGGGTTTCCAGGCTATATGGTTTCATATGGATGGAACTAGGTCACATCGGGAAAAGTGTGAAGTTTAAATTCCAGCTTTTTAATGTAAGAAGTAACAAAGCAAAGCACAGAAAATACAAGCCTGAACTCACAGCTCCCACACTCCTGTATCTGCGGGTCCTCTACGTTTCCCTCAGCCTCTCTCCGACTGCTCCAGGTACACTGGCTTGACTGGCCGGGTGTTCTGGGTAAACTGACGGAGAAGAGAGGAGGAGAGAAAGAAAGAAGACTGCTGAGGTCGGCAGTAGAGACCAGCTACAGAAAGGATTTTCACTGAATCACACAAAGAAATTTCCCCAGGAACTGTCTGAAAACCAACCTCTCCTTCTTTACCTTGTGCTTCGGACACCGCAGCGAGAAGTTGTCTTCGTTCAGTGAGCAATCTGGAAGAGGCACAGACACGGTCAGTACTGCAGAGACTGTCACAGAACGCTGAAAAGAAAGCAATGTGTGTTTTACATCACCTGCTTCAATAGCACACAGGTAATGGTAGCGAAGTGTACAGCCTTTACTGTAGCAGCCCAGTGTTGAGCCAACCATCTCGCAGTATGAGCAGCACTGAGAAGAGAGAGAGAGAGAGAGACGATGGGGAAATCAAACAGTTGAGCAAAGTGATAACAATCATTAAACATGTAACACTGTTGTTAATAATACTGCAGAGCGTAGTGTTATGTCATTTCATAACATGACATCATCAACCAGCTGTTCATCAATTAACAGTCTGCCTCACAAACACAAGTCTGAACTGTCCCAGACAAAGCAGGTCAAGCACTCACCGCTTCTCTGGCACCATCTAGTGCCTCCTGCAGGCCGTACAGCCTCCCGTTGACAAGGTACACTCCACTGGTCCACACTATACATCCTTCATGGACCCACAGCTCCTCTGGATCCATGGGCATCTGAGGCAGCTGGGCGAGCTGTGCCAAGGGTCCCATAGAGTCCAGGGCTGGTGGGGGGGGCTGGAAGGGCAGGGAGGCCTTGCTATTGGATGGCACCATTCTGGGAGAATCCTCACTAGATTTATGTCTCCTCTTGAAGCGGGGGTGTGAGGTGAGCTTTCTGTGCTGAGGTCGCTGTTGAGCTTCATCAGCTGGCTGCTGAAGCTGTTTCGGTGCCTGATGCTGGTCACTCTCAAGGTCTGGCTCTCTCTTAAGCTCAAGGATAGGCCGGATATCCAGACTCACGTCCCAGTTTAGAGATCTTGTTCTAGTGGTGGAGGTGGAGGTGGAGGAGGAAGAAGAGAACGTGCTGTTACTGAAGTTGCCAGCCACATGCATCATCATTTCCTCTCTGACAGCGGGGGAGGCAGGTCTGACTGTGGGAAGAGCCGCTAAGTTTGACTCCAGGCTGACATAGTCGCTCTCAGCTGAGCTCTTGGTAAACTGAGTGTCTTGTGTCTGTGAGTCCTGGACAGTGCTCACAGCATTTGAGCTTATGTCTGAATTTGGTCCTGGTTTGTTTGTGCCTGTGGCAGCTTGACACTGCCTGACCTGGGGCTGGTTCTTGGGGAGCTTTGCGGCATAATCAGCTGGATAGTAAGGCCCATAGAGATCTCCAAGGTGTTTATAATTTGCCCATTTCTGACACAGGCAGCAAAGCAGACGGCCAGAGTGGTTGGACTCTGTAATCACAGGGCCTGAAACAACATAGCCAGATGAAGGAAGTGCTTTTCCTGACTGAATTGTAGTCTCCACCTCGCCCGGCTCCCTCTTCTCGGATTCTCTGTCTCTCCTAGATAACTGGAAAGAAAGAGGCGAGGTCAGGAGAGAATCCGTTCCACTCCCGCCTGCCTTCCCGCCAGCTGCACTACGCTCTCCTTTCATCTTGTCCTCCTCAGCATTTACAATGGTGCACACGGCTCCAATCTCTGGTATCTTTTTCTCCACATGAATGTGTGGAATAAACAGGCCCTTTCTGTTTGGGTCCATGCAGATTCTGTTCATGCCGAGGGTCCCTCCTGCTCCTAAAGGTGTATCCGGGTCATCTTTGGCCACTGACGGTGCAGCCACCACCGCCGCCTCTCTCCTTCTCCTCCTCTGTTGTCCTCTGGCTTCCAGTGACTCATCTTCATCTTTCATGCCTCTGCGTCTCCGTCGCACAGGTTTAACCTCAATCTCTGGCTGTGTGTCTTCACTCTCGACATCTGCTTTAACTACCTGGGTTAAAATGGGCGGGGCCAGTGGGGGCGTGGTTTTAGTGTCTGGCAGGGGGGATGCTGCAGGGGCTGCTGTGCTGCTGGTAGTCTGCAGTGTCTGTGCAGCAGGGGCAGCAGCTGGAGTTGGAGTGGGTGGGGCTGGAGGAGCAGTCAGACTTGTGTTCTGTGTTTGGATTTGAGGCTGAACCTGTGTCTGTGCCGGGGCTTGGTTCTGGACCCGTTTTTGTTTATTCACGCTCCCCACGGGCCTGCCCTTCTTCTTGCCAGATGGGAAATAACCTTTGGGCACAACATTCTCTAGTGGCTTAGAATCCTGTGGCGACAGACTGGACCTAGCAGAGGACAGGTGGAGCTGCCTGTTCAGAATGTGTCCTTGAGTCTGGCTGTGGTGGGGCGGGGTGGTCCCATAGAACTCACTGCCAGGATAATCATCAAAGCCAATGCCAGATTCCTGAAGTTTCTGTCGAAGAAGATTAGCAGCAGACTGCTCTCCTCGTCTTGTCTCAAGCTGCTGGTAAGTGTTGGTGAAATGCTGAATATCTGACAGGGCAGACGAGGATGGAGGTGGGGAACCCTGGACCGGGCGAGGAAGAGGAGGAGGAGGGGGTAAAGGTCCGAGCAAAGCAAAGTCCTCCTTGTCGCCAGATGCCGTTGCCACAGCAGCTGCTAATCCAAAGTCAAAGTCTTGTTGTTTGAGAGCTTGGGAAGTCTGATGGGGATCACACGGGTAGGCAGTCGGAGGTAAAGGCCCAGCCTCATCAACTCCTCTGAAAGGAATCATGTCATTTAATGAGTGACTTTCATCCATGTAACTATCATCACCTCCTGCAACCCTCGGGAAATGTGCTAAGTCTTGGTCCTGTGAATCATTAAACGGTGGGATTTCGGAGTGAGAGAAGCCTGGGTAATGGTTCGGCTCATCATCAGCGAGGCCTGCTGGCTTTTTAATATTTGGTGTGATTTTCTGCACTATTGCCTCCAGTTTCAAACCTCGTCCTTTCCTGGCAGGCAAACCCTTGGTATGAGCACTTGATGGAGATACAGGTTGTGTGTAGGTGTTCTCTCTGGGCAGAGGGGAGCACAGCCTGGGACACGGGATATCTGAACTGGATAAGTCATCGTCATTGTGATGGCTGGACTCCGACTGAGCTGCAGGGGAGTGATGTGAATTTGTGGCCCTCTGCTGAGACGCATCCTGGAGTTGCCTTTTGGCAGGAATAGGGGAGATAAAAGAACGAACTCTCCTTCTAAGTATTAACGGATTTGTGTCTCCAGAAATGCCAGCTTTGTTCTGGCGCTGCATCTGTGGCTGGGCGGAGTTCACATCAGCAGGAGGCTTAGTGGAGCCGGATGGAGGAGGTGGGCAGGGATGCTTGGCTTCCTCAGCGGCTCCTCTGGAGACCTCAGGGTCAGCAACATTTTGGCTAGGAGTCATCTGTGGAGGAGCAGGGCCGTGTGAAGCTACTGCAGCAGGAGCAGGGGGTGGGAGAGGTGGCTGTGCTCGGTAGTAGGAGTCTCCCTCGATCATTCTACCACTTTCTCTTCCAGGGTGTGTCGACTCCCACATTTTAATATCGAAGTAAGCACTCTGATGATGGAGTGGTGTTTTGGTAGCATGCTGTTCACCGGGCATATCAGTCTGGGAGAGCATCCTCTGTCTCTGCTCTGACTGGCTGACTTTATGTCTTCCTGGAGAGGAACCAGGCTGCATCAGCAGCTCCTTTGATGGCCTGTTCATTGCTTTAACCCATTCACTTATGTCATGGGGGTGATGAGGGGGGCCACGAGAGTGAGGAAACATGTGAAGCTTATTGGTGGGCTGAGCTTGGGAAGACACAGTGTGGTACGGATGGTGGGAGGAAAAATGAGGGTTACTGTGTGGCATCATTACACTGCCTTCTCTTGTATCTCCATATCGATATCCAGGAAAACTGCTGCTGCTGCTAGTGGATAGATCAACACCATGGAGATAGGACTGATGCCTTGAGGGTGAGGACAAAGGATTAGTGCTCAAAGGATGAGAAGGCAACGGGGAAAGATCAACATTACCTCGCCAATAGGGCTCAGCATTCATTACAACTGATGAATGAACAGACTTGGAATGATACTCCATATCAGCCTCACTAGCGCTACCACTGCTGTGATGATCAGTGTGTAAATGTGCAGCATCCAGGGCACCCTCTTTCGATGCCTTTTCCACTTTCACCATGTGTTTCTCTCCAGTCTCTTTTTTACTCAGATCACTGGCTACTGCTGGGGAGGAAAAAGGCTGTTGAATCACGGAGGCTCCGCTTTGACTTTTCTCCCGCTCCCTCTCTCTGTCGCCGTCCCTGTCCCTCTCTGGTGTGCTGCGTCGGTTTGGTGACACGTCACAGATGACAGAGCGCCGTTCTGATGGCGCTAATGCGGAGCCTGATGATTTCTGAGACTCAATTTGAACGGTGCTGCCTGTTAGTGGCTCTGGTTCCTGCAAAAGCAGCTCCTGCACAGCAGAGGACGGTGTGGACACGTTTGATAAGGCTTTTCTCTGTGGCAGAGAATAGTCAGCTAAGTTGATATGTTTTGGTGGAGGCTGCTGAGACTCTGTAGCCTGTGGTAGATGACTCTGAGACACACCCACTTCAGTGTTTTCAGCATTTTGCAAAGTCTTAGTATTAGACACTTCTGACTTCACTGAAGACTGAGGATCAGTGAAGTCAGGCTCACTTCCACGCCGCTGGTTTGGATGTGGGGGCTTTCCAGAGGTCCCCATTTGGGCAGAATGAGTTGAAACTTCAGCCGCTCCACTTTGCATCCTCATATTTTCAGCTGTGCTGTACAAATGTCTGGTTTGAAACTGCTGTTGAATTTGGAGATGGGCAGGAAATGCCTGCCCATCTCTGCCATAGCGTCTGTCTACATTATAGCCTTGAAGAACCTCTTGTAAAAGGCTTGGAAACTGCTGCATTGGTGAATTTTCCTCATGCCCTTTAGCTCCTGCTCCTTGCCCTCTCTTCACCAAGGCCTCTGCCACAGAACCAGTATCTTTTGGATGCACAGGGCCATAACCAGTTTGCGACTGCTGGTACCCTAAGTATCTGGAATTTGATTCCATTACGCCAGCTGGGCCGGCCCTCCCTCTGTTCTTCATTGACAAATCTGAGCCATATGTTGACTCTGGGTAGCCAAATTTATGTGGTCCAGACTGGGGAGGATTTTGAGGCCGTCCAAAATTTGATTTCTGGTGATGGGAGGAATACAGGCTCAGATCTACACCCTCGTCCCCATTCTGGTTGCTCGACTCCCTTAAGTAAGAGTGGTGCTGTTTCTCCTCTATACAGTTGTCGTGGGGATGCTTGCTTTTTTCCATGTGCCTTCCCTCAGACCGAGCTGAGACAATCACACCAACACCACTGGCACTTTGCTGCTCCTCAGATGTGTGCTTTTCTTCCCTCTCATTTTTGTGTATTCTCGATGCAGTGTGCAATCTATTTTCTTTGTCCTGACCATTTTGTGTATCGACTTCTCCGACCTGTCGCATATGGCTGCTGCTTTTCTCCGTTTTCTCAACTGTGCTTTCACTTTCATTTTTGATTACTTCATTTTTAATTTCTGTTGCCTTCCTGTGCCCACCTCTGTGGTCATTATATACTGAGCCAGGCTCTGAAAAACAATTTGGCTGGGGAGGAGGAATGCTGGGGGAGGTGGATGAGGACACTGGAGGTGCTGAATGTGAAGCTGGGCCAGTATCAAAGGATGGTGATAACGACAAAGAAGGAACATGAGCTTCAACTGCTTTTGTTTCAGAAACACTTGGTTCTTTTGACGGTGAATTAGAGCCGATTGTTTTAACATTTGATACGTGTCCGGTCTGTGGCTGGGTTTGACTCTGGGCTGGAGGGTGATAGCTGGTTGGTTCCGATCCGCTGCTTGCACCACTCATCTGCCTTACCCTCCCATTTTCTCCCTCACCAAACTGCTCCTCCTGCTCCACCTTGGTCCCTGATGAGCCTCCAACTGACATCAGTGAGGAGTCTTCGTCAGCACCGGTGTCTAAGCTGGTGCTGTCACCGACCCCCACTGCCCCTCCATCTCTCATTGTGCTAGTACTTGAGGCTGCACTTGCATTTCGACTTCTCGGTTGCGATGGGGGCACGCCATGTGTTGCCTGTTGCGTCTGCCCACTATCCTTCTTCTTCTGTGAAAGCACTGTGTCAGTGAGGAGCATGTGCTGAACTGTGTGTGGTAAATTGGCAACTTGTGAGCTCAAGGCATTAAGACTATTCAGGCCAGCATCCTGCATTTTATCAAGTGGAGAAGATGAATAAAGAGAAGAGACTTCCTCTCTGGATCCAATTCCTGCACCTAGACCCATTTTGTTACGGCCTGCTGGGGGAAGGCTGCTCCCTCCAGCTGCACTCATGCTGTGAGCTTTATTACTGCCACTGCTACCACAACTACTGATGCTGCTATTTGAGTTGGGTGTGGGACTTAACTGAGGCATGGTCTGCAGTAATCTGCCATGACCATGGCTGCTACGGGGGGTTGATGTAGGAGGATGTGAAGGGCCGTGACTTGAGGGGTTTCCGTGTGCCTCTGAGACACCCATCAAAGGAGAAGGAGAGGAGCTACAGCTGGGGGAGTGCACTGCAGAGACAGCCGGAGAGGGGTTGGATACTGGGCTAAAGTTTTGGTTAATCTGGGTTTGTTGAGCACTGGGGTGCATCGGGGATTTGGCTATTTCTTGAGCTGCTGCTTGAGGTATACTGGGGTTGGAGGCTTGATGATGTTTAGCATATACAGACCCTGGAGAAGGGCCCTGGTGCTGCATTTTGAGAGAGCTGTCATAACCTGCCCCTACACTTTGCTGCGAGTTGCGGTGCTGGAGGGTGGCTTGCTTGTGAAGTGAATGTGTCTGTGAGGAATAGCCAGGGTAATTTGAAGCATGGTAACTCTGCTGAACATTCTCCATCGGCCCCACATTGTTAGCAGCAACTGAACTGGACACCGAGTTTGAACTGGAGTTGACATTGGGAGAACAGTTGACTTTGGGATCAAACCCGGTGCTAGCAGCCCCGTCCAGATATCTTTGCAGGGGTGGACTGTACATTCCTGATGACCCCGTGGATGTGCCACCCTGTGGGGAGTAGTATGGGTACTGAGGGGTCATTCTGTGTCCAGAGGGTGGATAGCTCCTATGCTGCTGTCCATGGTGGACAGCGGGGAAGGTCTGCCCGTGCTGGCGGTGTTTCATCTGAGAACCTGGCACTGACTGCATTGCAGGGTTCTGACTCATACTGTACTGATGAGAAGGAGAGAAAGCTCCAGCTCCAGCACCTCCACCTGAACCAGCACTGGAGCCATAGTCTACTGGATATGGTGCCATCAGGCCAGATGTTGGTGCAGAGCCAGATCCAGCATGCTGGTACTGGTGAGGTATATGTCCATCAATATTTGGGTACCCAAAGCCTGCCCCATAAGCTATGCCTCCCCTCCTGTGCCTGTCCTTGCCACCCATTGAAAAATAATAATCCATGGCGTCCTTCCTGTAAGGGTTGTTACTGCTGCCACTGTGAAGCCCACCCTGCACTGGCAGCGCCTCCACAGCTCCTCTGTTTCTAGCGCTGTAAGCAAGCATGTGGCTGGCCTGACCTGGGTGGTGATGGCCTCTGTGCAGGCTCTGCTGCTGCATCCCTGCGTACTCATCTGTCATCCTTGGGGAGATCTGGGGTTCTGCTGGCTGAGGGGGATAGGGAGGTCCTCCTCCACCCCTCCCACTGAAGCCAGGGGGGAGACCGGGGGGAGCCGGGCTGTTAGAAAAATTCTGCATTGTTTTTGTCCAAGTTTGGATTAAAAATGGAAATCTTTCTCTCAGTGTCTGTCAGGGATGCTTCTGATCAGAAACTGGAAGGCTCGTGGCACTAACCATAAAGGACAAAGAGAGAGTCTATGGCCTGGCAATAAAACAAGGAAATGCTTTTCAAATCCACCAGAGAGCTGAAGCACCGCAATATATGTTGCAGATGTTACAATCGCTTTTTTGTAGTCGTACAGAGGTTGAACAAACAATACATGAAAAGGCCAAATGGTAAAAATCTGACTTCTTTCCTGTGATGGTTGTTTTCACAAGACATCAACAGCTGGATCTTAAAAAGTGAAATAAAAAAAATCCCACATAAGCAGCAAAAGCAGATATCTACTGCAGAAAAATACAGAACTGAGAATGTGCGGTCATTCCCATGAAGCAGTTTGGCACTGAGCAGGCGACTGATACACCACCATGCAGGATGTTCAACGTTGAATGTCTTTACATGTATGTTCTCTGCTATAACAACAGCTCAGGCAAGCAGAGCTATTTTGGGATTAAACTGAATTACGATTCAATAGCATCTTGTGCAAAAAAATAAAAAATCTCAATAAAACCATTGAGACTTTGTTCCATCACAGCAGCCCTTCAGTTCGTCAACATGTGTACATTTGCCAGGACCTGACTCACAGCTGTGTGAGATGAAAACTGCAGCAACACAATAAAGAGGTCTGAATACAGACCCTCAATAAACACTCCCAGAGGCAAACAATCCATCGATACTGTCATCAACTCTTGGAAACTGTTTGAGGTGTGGTTTTTCTTGGTCATTCCCTTTCAAACACTGTGCTCCTTTTTAGTTGTTTGTTATAGCACATATTCATTTGGACTGCAGGAGAATTTGGTCCCTGTGTAGTCAATGTTCTGTGTTCGCCTCTGCTTTCAGATTCTTCTCGCTGCTCTCCTGTATCTTCAGCATGTAGCCGTCTTACCTTTGTTTTTTCTGCCAACCATCATTTAATTCTACCGAGTTCCATGGCAACAACTTTCCAAAAGGAGAGTAATCCATTTATTCCACTTCAAGCTCAGTCAGTCCGAGCTCCGTTTGTCCGTTTCTCCTCCGTATGTCCATGCAGATAAGTTCATTTTCCAGGAGCTGTTGACCAGAAGCCTTCACGACTCTGCAAATACAAAAGATCAATCAAAAAAGTTAGCACGCAAAAAGAGGCAACATTTATGTAGCAGCCCATCTAACACTCTGTTGCTATAACTACATAATTATAAAGAGATAGTCTCTGCCATCGCACAACAGTACTAAAATGTGTGTTCTACTAATGACACTTTCCATTTTTCACATTATTTTAATTCATCACTTTAATTTAAACTACTCTGCGGTAGATATGACATTAGTATCAATACAAGTACAAACAAAATGAGTGGAATTAGGCCTTCTCACACTTAAACAATTTCATTTCTAAATTGCTGAAGTTGTTTATTGAAAGAGAACAAAATCAACCTCTAATCATCACATATTGCATCTGGCCCTATCTAACCCTTAAAATCTCACAGACCTATCAGATATATATTCACCAAAGACGACAACAATGCTAACGTTACATTCTCGTTTCATATACTGTCCACTCAGCTTGTTACGTCACTAGTTATAAGGCCGGCTGGCCTCATCTGGACACCGAGAGCACGGCCTTGACTGTGGCTAAGCTGTCTGTCCTGACTGATACAAACAGAGCTGCTGGACAGAACAGTGTGTTAGCAACGACTGCAAACAACACAGACAAGGTCACAAACACTCATTCACATGTAAACAAACAAGGCAGTATCAGTCCATCTCCCACCGCTTTACAGTGAGACCAGAGACCCTTCACTTCCAGCTACTTAACAGGTTTTAATGGGCTTTAACTATTATGGGTGAGAATTAAAGGGATGACGCCACCTTTATGGGGTCAGTGCCCATAATTGCCACGTGTGACACAAGCCTCTATTGTCTGCTTCAAATACACTGTAAAACAGTTAATGGCCCTAAAACAGATTTAATATGAGCCACCATAACAAGTCCTCACTCTTTTGGTATAACTGGTGCATTTGTGGATTCATATTAGTGACAAGCTGTTTTTCACCACAGACGAAGTTGGGTGGAGAACACGGGGACCAGGAGGGTCTACAAAACGACCTGGTGAAACCGACACCGCGTCACCAGACAGGTTCATGTCCAGGTGTCACATGTGAGGGTCAACGCCAGCGGACACGGGCCATGCTGTGTAAAATTAACTATGGAGACGCTATTGATCTCCATTCGTCTGCTTGCCCATACCTTGATTACTAATTAATCACAGCAGCTCGCTGTGCGCGACCAGGCAGCAGCATTAACGACGCACGCACACACAACAGTGCAGCATTAATAAAACCTGGCTCAGTGCAGCCTGTCAGCAAGTCAATGAACTGCACGGCTTTTGCAGATTATGCTCAAACGCCAGCTCCGGAATACTGGGCTGGTTTGTCGTCTCTGATTGTCATCAACACAACACCGGCTTCTTACAACAGCCTTAGCAGCCACATTAGCCACTAGCAAAGTCTACGCATTACAATTAGCTTGGTGCTGCTGCCTCTTTTAGCTCTGTAAGGTTAGCGTTAGCCAAAATACCTCACATACTGCAAATTAAATATGCGAGCTAGCTGCATATAATGGGGGCTAGCTTACAGCCACATAGTTAGCATCTTAGCAAACTAGCTAATTAGCGTTTCTGACATTATTAGAAGCATTTGAGGAGGCGCACAAAGCCCCAGTGAGAGCAGGCAAAAAGGCACAGGGCAGCCAAGCAGCGTTTAGCCACAAAGGAGAGGTGATTAGGTGCAGATGTTCCCCCAGAAATCCAGTGGGGCTGGGAGAAAATGGGCTAGCTAGCATGAATAACTAGCAAGAGAGCTGGTGTGGGGACTGCATCAGAAATGTATCATCACGCAGCCTGACATTTTCCCTGGATCAACAGAGCCAACCAGAGACAGGCTAGCTAACACACTCTGCATGCATACCTGAAAACGTAGCAATGCAAGGCCCCTCGAAGAGTCAGCGGCTGTTTTGTGGCAGGAAACCCCAGCCTACAGTCGACTGCTCCGCCGCTTTTCCCTCACCCGTTGGCGTCCAGACAGCCCCGACCAGCGGCGGCGGGGGGCGGGGGGCC